TTTATCATCAAGGCAGCCAGAAGAGCAAGCAGCAGAACCTTATATCTCCCTCAACACCTGAAATGGGAAAAGAGGAAGTGAGGAAGAAAAAAAAAGAAGAAGAAGACTTGAAAATCTGTTTATGCCTGGCTGGACTCTAGTTAGCAGCTATACATCTATCATCCGTTGTGGCCTGGAAGCTCAGAGTATATTATATTTCCTTTTGAGCTCCAGTAACTGCTGCTGTGGGGGAAAGTACAATCAAACACACCTATTAAAAAATAAACTTGTTCACTAATGAAAGAAAGAAAGCTTACCTTCCTAAAATTTCTAACAACTCTGCTATACCATTATGCTTTTCTGTTTCATAAACAAAACTGAAACAGAAACAAATACAATTAATGTAGAAAGAGAAGAAACATTGAATCCATCCACTAAAATCACCAACAGTCAAGAAATTGAAAATAGATGGATAGATTATATGAATGAACTGTTCAACTGAGGACCACCGGATGCAATACCATACCAAATAAAGTGTGCAAAAGACCATGAACCAAAGATACTGGAATCTGAAGTTGAAAAGGCCCTAAGCAAAGTAAAAAGAATAAGACAACGGGAATAGATGGTATTACAACAGAAATGCTCCTTATATTTAATATAACAGCTTGGTTGACCAGAACCTTTTAAATTAGCTTGGGAGACGCAGAAGGTCCCAAGAGACTGGCAGATAGCAATCATTGTCCCCACCTAAAAAAAATAAAGGAGACAAATGAAACTGTGAAACATACAGGGGCATCTCCATCTTGAGCCTTACTGGAAAGATGTTTGCCAAAATACTGGAATTATAAGCTCAACCAGTACTAGAGCCCCAATATAGTAAGATTAGCTCAGTTTCAGGAAGGGCAAGAGCTGCATGGCTGTAATATTTTCACTGAGGCAGATAAATGAGCAATCTACTGAATATGATAAAAGACAACATCTTTAATTCATAGATCAAGGAAGGGCATTTAACTGAGTCAATAAATGCAAACTATGGCAAATCTTATGGTCTTCAAGATCAACAGGGGTAACACCATGGCTCTTTACCAAGATAGTGCACAGTAAGAACAACAGAAAGAATGACAGACTGGTTTCCCATCTCATCAGGTGTCAGACACGGATGTGTTCTCTCACCATTGCTTTTCATTACTTACATGGATAGAATTACACAGCAGGCAAATACAGACACTGAAGAAATCAGTGAACTTTTTGTGTGTAGAGGATCAATGTCTAATACACCACAAAGGACAGAATCTACAACATACTAACTCCTTACATCAAATCTGCACAAAGTATGATAAGAAAAAAGAAAACAAAAAAAAGGCGAAAATTGAGGTTTCCAAGGCAGGAAACATAATGGCATGAACATTCATGTTAATGGTACAACAAGCAGTTTGAGAATTTAGTTATCCGGGAAGCACATTTACAGAAGATGGCAGACTTGACAGAGAGATAGAAGCCAGAGTGCAGAAGGCAATTGCTATCATCTTCTAGTTAGCCTACCTGATTAGACACCATAATCTTTCCCTTCCAGCAAAACAGCAAATGATTAACAGCATTTTCATCTCTACTAATGCTATCATTACCGTACATGGGCAATGAATAAGGCAATACAATAGAAGAACAAAAAAATACCTGTGAAATGCGATGTCTTCACAAGGTCACTAACAAAGCAAGACAGGACAGGTTATAAATACCAGCATTCCAGAGAAAGTTGCAATAAGCAATAAGACTGTGTCTGAATTATACAGACAAAGAATCAAATGGTTCGGCCATATAGTGAGAATACAGCAACAATCAAATTGCACATGAGACTTTTTACAGCAGATCATCTGGGACGAAGATGAGGGGAAGACCAAGAAAGAGATGGCTAAAAGGTGTAGCTGAAATCTGTAAAAAGATGAACAAATCCACAACCCAAGCCACCTGAGAAGTGTAAGACAAATACAGAAATTAGCGTAATAACTGTTTCAGACAGTGAGTTAGAGTAACAAAAGATTGAGATGAAATGAGCTAAGAGTAACAACTAAAATAGAATGAGTTATGATAACAATTTCTTCATATCGGTTAAAGTAACAAAAGTTTTAGACAGAATGAATTCAAACATCTGTAACAACCGTTTTAGATGGAATGAATAAAAGTCTTGATTAGAATAGAGCTTTGAATAGAAAAAGTATGTACATTGTATCACATCACGATTGCAAAACATCTAAACTTCAAAACATTTAAACTTCAAAACATCTAAACTTTGGTACATTTTCCTGTCCTGGGTGTTTCAGATGTAGAAGAGGAAGCAGAGCTGTAGTAGCTTAGTGTGTGTCCCCCAGTTACCTGAAAAAAATAAAGCCTCCACATCACAGTAACCCTAGCCTGTAACAACAGCAATACTGACTGCTTCTTACCTGTAAAATATATTGTTTATCTGTTTCCTAATATATGCTCGCAGACCCAAGAATTTGCCATATATCCTATGCAAGATGGTTTTGAGGAAATCTCTCTCACGGGGATCTTCGCTGTCAAACAGGTCCAGAAGCTAGAAATAAATCAGAAGAAGTAAAGAATGTAATACCATTCAGAGAATTTGGTAGGTGGTAAAGTTATGAGAGCCGAGGTAAATGTGCGTATATGGTATAGTTATCATGAGAGCCGAGGCAGATGTCTGTATGTGGTATAGTTATCATGAGAGCCAAGGTAGATGTCGGTATGTGGTATAGTTATCATGAGAGCCGAAGTAGATGTCCATATATGGTATAGTTATTATGAGAGCCGAGGAATATGTCTGTATGTGGTATAGTTATCATGAGAGCCAAAGGCAGTGCACTGATCAGATGCATGTCTGCTGGAATGGAAATACCCAGAATTCGAATCTGCACTGAAGAAGAATTTGTTTATCTGACTATGGCTGCCAGACTGGTAGCATAAAATCTCCATGTAAGCAAAGATGACTGGCACAATGATGATCACATCACCCACAAAATGTCATTTTCTATTTTTTGTTAAATGGGCCTGACACTATATGCCCGATTTCCCATTCACATGAAAAGGGTCCTTTACTTAAATTTAATTATAGTTATCAGGCTCTATGTTGAAACACAATAAAATTGTTCTCAACTATACCCTTTAATACACTTCTGTTTTATGTTTTACGTGAAGGAAGGCATGTTTGTATGCTTTTGTCTTACAGTTTGAGCCACATAGCATTGGTTATCATACCTAGTCAGCAGCTTTGTGTCTCACGTACTGTCAATTATTTCTGATACAGACATGTCTTATATGCCATGATGCCAAAATGTCCAGCATCTTCGTCCACTGCCTCTCTACCCCTCCAACTTTCTCACTGTCAAGACACACTAGGGAGCCGCCACGGTGTAGCATCTAGACGCTCATTTTAGGCCCAAAGATTGTAGATTCAAATCCGAATAAAGCCGGATTTCTTCCACAAGTAACCATGGCTCCCAGGTCGACCCAGTCTATAAACTTGTACTAGGTAAAGTCCTCGGAAGTAAAGGAGTCCGGCATGATCTTGACCACATCCCCCACCGAGTGCTGAATGGTTTATAAAATATATGTCTAGTACTATATGCCCAATATGCCTAATGGAAAAGAAAATGTTCATTTCAAAAGATGAACTTCAGTTTTCCCCTTTTTGCAATATGACCAAAGAATACTATTTGTGACCAAGGAATACTATTTGTGACCAAGGAATACTATTTGTGACCAAGGAATACTATTTGTGACCAAGGAATACTATTTGTGACCAAGGAATACTATTTGTGACCAAGGAATACTATTTGTGACCAAGGAATACTATTTGTGACCAAGGAATACTATTTGTGACCAAGGAATACTATTTGTGACCAAGGAATACTATTTGTGACCAAGGAATACTATTTGTGACCAAGGAATACTATTTGTGACCAAGGAATACTATTTGTGACCAAGGAATACTATTTGTGACCAAGGAATACTATTTGTGACCAAGGAATACTATTTGTGACCAAGGAATACTATTTGTGACCAAGGAATACTATTTGTGACCAAGGAATACTATCTCTGAAGCTGGTAGCCGGTTCTCTTCATGAGTTAAAAATTTTAGGACATCTTCATTACACATTTTTTTTAACCTATCATGGAGTTCTCATTATCATCATCAACTTCAACTTTTGTCTTCAAGTGCCGTGGGGAGGAACAGGCTGCACTCCAGCCTTTGATGGGTAGCATCGGTAATTGTCATTCGGTGTGGATTTATTATGTTTTTAACATCATTAATCCATTTTCTCCTTCGGCACCTTCTTGCTTTCAAATCAGCTGGTGGCCTCATCATTTGCCAATAATTTGTTTATATGAAGGCAGATTTATAACATGCTTATATCGCTCATTAACAAACTGTGTTAGGAGTGATGTGGTCTATACCATGCAGATAGTTAGGGTTTTCTTAGATAAATCTCTGGTACCCATTATATCAAACTATTCTGGCACCAGAACCATACTCGCAGGAAGGACAACCATATCTGGAGAATTTACATAGACCTCCAAGTGCAATGAAAGATGATCTCTCATACACCAAATAAAACCATTCACTCACCTCACTGTGTGGGTTCCAGGGCCCAGTGTGGGGGAAAAAACTGGACCCACTGCCTCCCCAACAGGCATGTCGTAAGAATCGACTAACTGGTGGCTTCCCTTAAAGCCAGAGGGCTCTCTAACTGAGAAGCAAGGAACCAACAGTCTGCATACAAATAAGTCAGATCTGTAAAACAAATGTGCATGCAATACTCAGGTTCTGGAACAAGACAAAATCCAGAGGTGGACAAATACCCTGAATTTTCTGATAGCCGGTGAACGTGAAAAAGAAAAAGAAGAATGAGAAACCTTTCATTCTTCAATAATGTAACTGCATGTTTATCTGTGAAAATAATTTTTGATAAATGTAATTTTCAGTTAATTCTATCAACAACACAAATTTAAAATTAAATGCTTACCTGTAAAATAAACTTTTGGTCAATATATCGTTTAGCTGTGTTTGGTTGGAAGTCTGGACACTCTAGGAATCTTAAGAAAAACTCGTACACAAGCTGTGGGAGAATAAGCAAGAATTACATTACTGTATGAAACTTCTTTATCGGTTCTTTATTCCCCAATGCAGCATTGCTCCTCAACCAGCTCATGCGACGTCATTCTCATTTTTGCCATCTCATACAACTCACCACAAGGCATTCATTGAAAGAGAAGCAGTCAGCCCTAGGATAATACGTGCACCATTTAGAACAGTGGTCTCCAATCTGGAAAAGGGGCCCAAGGAGGCTTCAAGGGGAGGGGGTTGTCAAGTAATTTTAAAATTGACACTATATGTATTTGTAATAATCCGTTATTTTTTTTAGTTTAATTAAAAATTAAATAATTAAATATTTTTTACAACTATTTATAAAACAAAAAGCCAAGGACATTTGTTGTTTTTATAATCAGTTTGCATATCGGCAGTTAAAAATCTAATTAATATGATAACACAGGCATGTTAGATTAAAAGCACATTCTTACCAAAATGTATCTTCATAATGTCTGTTACCCTTGTGGAACCTACTGCTATTCTCTTTTTGATTATCCCTATTTTGTTATGTTGGGATTGGGTGGTGCTTGCAATATACTCCAAAAAAAAAAAAAAAGGGGGGGGGGGGGCATGAAGGTATTGCCATATATTCAAGGGAGGCATTTTAGATTAAAAACACATTCTGACCAAAATGTATCTCCATACTGTCTGTTACCCTTGTGGAACCTATGCCATTCTCTTTTTGATTATTCCTATTTTGTTATGTCGGGTTTGGGGTGGGGCTTGCAATATACTCAAAATGGGGGGGGGGGGGGGGGGGGGGGGGGGGGGGGGGGGGGGGGGGGGGGGGGGGGGGGGGGGACATGGAGGTATTGCCATATATTCAAGGGAGGTGCGACCTGAAAAAGGCTGGAGACCACTGATTTAGAACAAGAACAAAACAGTGAAGTTGGCTGTAATACAGTTTCACGCATTAAAAAATTATAAGAACAGATAAATTAAGGAGGAAATTTATTGGCAAATAAAAAAATTATTAGTAATAACAGAAAAAGCAAAATAAATATTGTGAAGGGTAACCTGAATTACAAGACAGGATTCTACAGAATATGCTAACAAACATTTACATATGTTCAGTTCTTCCAAAATGAGAAACCAGACACTGATCATGTCAGGATATGGCAACTTTTACCACAGAACCAATGAGATATTGAATTTCTTGTGTGGCCACAGCAATACTAAGTACATTCTGCCAGCAGCATAACTAATCTCTAACAGTACATCAACCACACTGAATTTTTAATCAGCGTGTCCGGGCATCAAAGGAACAGATCTTGGTTCAATTCTTATTGATCGCCACTACAATAATGCGTCAGTAATATCTTCTTTGTGGCCCGTTGGCTTGGAGGTTAGTGAGTGCGTTTCACAATTATTGAAGCATCAGGGTTTAACAGCAAAAAAAAAAAAAAATAATAATTCTTGTGGTATTTGGAAAGTGGTATGAGAATAGCACTTGGAAGAAACGGGTGTTGCCAGCCAATGTTCCTAAAGCAACGGTGGATGCACATATCCACTGCAGCCAACTTCCATTGTAGAGATAACTCAATAATTTTAACCCTTTAGAGACAGTGCCTTTTTGGAGTTTCAGTGCCAAAAAGACGAAGCCTTCAGGAGAGGATTCTTTGTTTACAGCAAACAAAAACACACAAAAAAAAACACAAAAAACCGCATGTAATTAACATATATAAAACTATACATATTCAAGCAGGAAATTTAATAATCTATCATAATATTTATGAATCAATCTGAAACCACACTTATTCAAATTAACCACTCTGATTTTCATAATTTATGCAAGCAATTTAAAAAAAAATTTTTTTTTTAACATTGAACAAATATGACTGACCTGAAAAATGTGGGTGAAATTTTGTATAGATACAGCCTGAATAAGTCCTAAAACCTGTGTTTTGGGAAGTAAGGCCCATGGAAACCCTTCAGACACATTATTCTACTCCTTTTCATGCCTACTGCTATATTTTGGTTGCTATGATGCAACAGGCCTTTTTGCCATTGTTTGGCACAGGTAACCCCACATAAAAATTGACGTAAAACATGAACAGCCCGCATGCGCAAGAAATGCAAGAAGCAATTTGACTGGCTGTTACGAAAGCCTGCCAGTCAATCTCAAGACTTGTGTTATACAGGGCCAACTGATCGGCCCAGTCATCCTTTTGGCTACTTTGTGTTGGGCCGTTATTTTGGCCACGTCATCTTCAGAGGGTTTAAAGGTTAATAGAAACTAGCCATCAACCATATTGATGACAACACAGATTCCACATTTTTTGTGACCCCTTTCTAGTCGTTCATCCAACTCTGCACTTTAGACATTGTTCCAAAACCTTAGTGATGCATGCCCATCCGTTTGAAAGATCTGACTTATTTGTATGCAGATTGGTGGTTCCTTGCCTCTTAGGCAGATGCACTCAGAATTCAAAGGAAGCCACCAATCAATTGTCTAGGAAGCTCCCATTCAGTCGACTCTTACGACATGCTTGTTGGGGAGGCAATGGGCCTATTACTGTTTTCCAAACAATGGGGCACCGGAACGCCCCGATTGCGATCCATAAATAAACATTTCTTTCTAATAATCATTTGCTTTTCTGTCCCGTTTGTATACTATACTATTTTACCCTTGATTTCAACACTTATTTTTAGAGTTTCAAATTGTCTTTATGCTCCAAAATGCTGAATTAATCATTATACTCCTCTTCACTCTTCAATTTTTATTTCCTGTGTTATTGTTTGGTCCAACGAACCTAACTGACACCAGGGAACTCATTTAAGACAACACTTTGTTATCTGTCACCACACATCCCCTGCATTAGACAAGTATTTGTGTGTCTGCAAATATCTGCCCTGTCCCCCACTTCTCCTCTCATGTCACAACATGGGTTTACTGCGGATGTCCAGCCCCTATTTTCTTTAGACCAATACCCACACAGTGTCATGTCAACATTACATATTATAATATTATAGCTTCCCAAATATTTTTGTTCAAATGTGTCACAGTTGTTTACATTCTGTTAATAGACTGCAATGGTTGGGCATATAGACAGAATGGCAGGTAACAGAGTCACAAAAGCTGCATACACAAAAGAGCTGAATGGGAGCTGACCACGAGGCAGACTAAGAAGACGGTGGAGTCAATAACAGAGATGATGGAGGTGGGTGATATCTGCAGCAGTGAACCTCAAAGGCTTGCAATGCTGAAGAAAAAGAAGAAGAATCCGACCTGGAAACAGAATGTGGTTGAATGGACTGGCTGCAAACAGGTAAACATCAGATCCACGGCACCCAAATGACAGAGGTGGGTGGAACTAACCAGACAGTCAACAGCAACTTGTGGTGACCCAGCAACACATGATGTAATATGTATGGTCATCATGTAGCAGGTCCATTGCAGAACGTCAATCTCATCACAGTCTGCCTGAAAAAATTCAGTCCCTCGCCAGCTCTCCCATCTCATGCACTTTCTTACCCAAGGTGTCACTTATATCCTGTACCCATCTTCATGCTGGCCAACCCCTGCACCTCTTTCCTCTGCTATTATTTTTACCAAACTTCTGTGGCACGTGATACGGCCACAATATTTCATTTTCCGATACAAGATGCTGTTTAATAGCAAACCTTCCCTCATGTTCATTATGATCTTTTAGGATGAAACATGCATTTTTTTCATTTTTTTTTTATCCATGCTATTTTGAGAGTCTTTCTATGGTATTTCAGCTCAAAGGCCCATATTTTTGTCCTTTAGGACTGTGAGATACTCCAGGACTCACATTCGTATGTTGCTACAGGGAAGGTACATGTTCTAAAAAATAGTGACTTTCATTTTCTCGCTGGTGTTTAATCACAGACTTGTAAATGCTGTATAAACATGCATGGTAGGTTCAACCAATCAGTCAGGCTGGCTAGCTAATGCATGATGAGCTACTTTGTACTGAATTAAATAAAGACAGACAATGCTTTTTGTGTGTGTATGAATGAGTAACATTTCAGATGCCCTTCCTTAGTTACATGAGTACACATCTCACCTGCAAATGAGGCCATGCAGCTTCCAGGGTGGGTTCATCCTCCTCGGGGTCAAACTCTGCACCAGATGGATTGGATGACGGTGGTAATGTTCTAAATAAATTTATTGAGAACTGAAAAGAAACAGAAATAGATTCCATAACAGCTGCTGTAAGAAAGGGGAGCAAGAACAGAGAAAGCTAAAGTAAATGCAGAAATATGTACAGTTGCTAAATCAAATCATTGAAAAGGAAATGAAAATGGTTTCAAACTAAAAAAAATTCAAGGTCTCCTATTATTTTATTCTTCCTATTTATGTGAATGTGGAGAAAATTAGAATATCAAGTGAATGTGGAGGAGAAGAAAAAGCAGGTAAACGAAACAAGGAATGGTCTTAAAGAGGAGGCGGAGGGAAGGGGGTGGGTGGAAGAAGAATAAAAACAAGAACAAGAAAAATTTAAAATTATAAATGTTAATCTTGCCGCCACCATCCATAAACCGTGCCCTCCATTTGCCAGTTTGAGAACCCATGCAGTAACCATGTATAAAAGTACCATAAGGAAGGCTACCAATAGATTCATGACGTTAGCCCTGGGCAAAGTTGGTGATTACCATCTCTCAGAAGTCTCCTGGCAAATAATGCGTTCTTGTTGGCTATTTACAGTGGACATGTTCTGTTGGCTATTTAGAGTAGGCATGTTCTGTGTGGCTATTTACAGTGGACATGTTCTGTGTGGCTATTTAGAGTGGCCATGTTCTGTGTGGCTATTTAGAGTGGGCATGTTCTGTGTTGCTATTTAGAGTTGACATGTTCTGTGTGGCTATTTAGAGTGGACGTTGTTCTGTTGGCTATTTAGAGTGGACATGTTCTGTTGGCTATTTAGAGTGGGCATGTTCTGTGTTGCTATTTAGAGTTGACATGTTCTGTGTGACTATTTAGAGTGGACGTTGTTCTGCTGGCTATTTAGAGTGGACATGTTCTGTTGGCTATTAAGAGTGACCATGTTCTGTTGGCTATTTAGAGTGAACATGTTCTGTTGGCTTTTTACAGTGAACATGTTCTGTTGGCTATTTAGAGTGGACATGTTCTGTTGGCTATTTAGAGTGGACATGTTCTGCTGGCTATTTACAGTGGACATGTTCTGCGTCTACTGCTGGGTTCTAACATTGCTGGCAGAACTGCACCCTAGCTAGTAAAAAACTTAAAACTATTCTGACGCCTTTGGCGCATCAGGAAGAGCTTTTCAAATGGCTTATGGGTTATGAACGCAGTTTAAAAAAATGTGACTTTCGAGTTCGATTCTTCTTCTTCTTCTTGGTGTTCACCTGCTGTAAAATCCAGAGGAAAGTTTTGGTTGTTCATCCGCCTATAGACTTTAGACTTGTTCCAGAGTCTGAGTGCTCCATGCACATCCGTTTTACAGATCTGCCTTATATGTGTGCAGACTGTTGATTCCTTTCCTATCAGGCAGATGCACTCCGACTTTAAAGGAAACTCCCAAGTAGTCGACTCTTGCAACATGCTTGTTAGGAAGGCAGTGGCTCTATTCTTGTTTTCCCCTACCAATGGGGCCCCGGAACCCAAACGGGGTGTTCCAGTGATTCAGCAGCAGAGACTTCGACAGCAGACGGATTTGCGTTGATCTATACAACGGTATAAGCAACGATGTGAGAGGCCAATTGTGTCACTGCCCTGCATGGTCGGCTCTCTAAACCACTGTCGGAAGCCAAAACTGTACGCAGCGGCACCACAAAATATTGTAAAAGCTTCAAATGTAATTTAACCAAGACACGAATAGTCATACTTTTACACAGGTTAGGGCACAGTGAAAATTTTTTACTGAAAAAAAAAGGCACCTCGACCAAGACAAGTTTGGGAAACACTGACCTAGATGTAAACCATAAAACAACGTCCTAGCAGTCCCTTAAGGGCGAACGCCGCATCGGGAAGGAGTGGGTTGGAAAGAAGAAGAACCCGGATCGCGTTCTTAGTAATTAATGATACTACTAAACCACCGCGTGGATTTTTATCATGGTATGGGGCGTCGCAGGTCGACCCAGCCTAAAATGGGTACCAGGATGGCTGTCCTGGTAAAGTAAAGACGGCCGGCGTAATGCTGACCACATTACCCACCTAGTGCCGATTGGTCTGTAAAAATATGAGACGCTCTTCCCAAATGCCTGATGCGCCTAAGGCGTGAAAAGGGATCTTTACTTACTTACTAAACCACCGTAACTTCTAAAGACTAGTAGTGTCAGCTTCATTAACAGGGGTAATCTTCTTCTTCTCGTTCACCGGCTGTTCGTCCACTTCTGGACTGCAGTCCTGTTCCAGAACCTGAGTGTTGCGTGTGCATTCGTTTGACTGATCTGTATGCAGACTGTTGGTTCCTTGCCTCTCAGGCAGATGCACTCTGACTTCGAAGGAAGCTCCCAATTAGTCGACTCTTACGACAATGCTTTTGGGTAGACAGTGGGTCTATTCTTGTTTTTCCCATAGTAGGGCCCCGGAACCCACACGGGGAGCAGGGGTAATAAAGTAAACAGTGAGAGACCGTACACTGCTTGAGAAACACTGGCGTGTCAATACGTACAAAAGCACACAGGCTTTTTTTCCCTGACACAAGTGCAGGGCGAAGCTGTTTGCTATTTTTGTGTTCACCAAGCTCCACCTTGTTCCTAATGATATCGAGCGTCTTGTAAAACCAGCCATCAGAAACCCTAATAAACACGCCGTCAGTCAGCGTAAAAAAAAAAAGCCCCTGGTTTCTTTTGGTCGGCTAATTTTAGCGGGACCACGGCGGAGCAGTGACAGTCGGTTTCTGAAGTTTCTTCATATGCAGTGGTGGGAGCTGCTTGGTCACGAGGTATGGTGTACCCTTCGTGTGCTAGAGATCCCGGGTTCAGGCCTCGGATTTTGCCACGTGGACTTCAAATAATCTCCCTGGTCTCTCTGGGTAGTGAGATCAGACGCCAGTGTGTACTGTTGATCACGCGAAAAAATCCCTTGGCAGTTGGAAATCGAAAAGAGTAGCCTAACTGCGCTGCACGGGGGCAAAATTTGGAGTTAAAAATCTACCTAAATTATTTCAGGATCCTCGCCGGTGCTGTGGAGCCTGTGCACTGCGCTGAGCGTCTTCGGACTTGAGTTAGAAGTAGAACGGAGCACTTACGGGTTACTACCCGTGTGCAATGATGTTGATCCGTTGTTTAAACTGTATATGCAGTGATAGAGTAGACGACATATAGAATTTTCCGGAAGCTGCCAGAGAAAGAAAAGGCGACGAAGAACGAAAGAACGAACGAACTTTATTTATTAAGAAGAGAAATGACCACATTATCTTGCATGTCTTAGCCTAGGTCTAACCACGGCCAGCTCCAGAATGTGCAGCCGGACGTGGTCTAACATTGTGGTGGGAAACCATTTCTTGTTTCTACTAAGGACCAATGGATATTTATTTTTGATATTCGCACGTTTACACACAAACTCATTAAATTAATTTGCCTGAATTCAAAGGCGCCTGAACCAGAGAGCTCGCACAATTTCGGCCCCCCCCCCCTTTCTACATAAACGTTATCTTATGAATATGTTAAATAATATTTAAATATATTACTTTTAATTTGGGAGTCTTCATTGCGAAGTGGTCAAGCAGTTTGCCTAGCGCGCTAAAGTGTGTGGGTTCGTTTCACAGCTGGACTGTAACGCTAAAGGGTGCAGTTTTATTAATATTAAAGGGGATCGTAACTGGAGCTAAGGTATTCGTGCCCTGTGCGACGACCTCGGCAGGCGGCTAGCCGTGCTCCGGAGAGCGTCCGAGCTTTATGGGATAAAAATCCGGTACAAAGAAGTCAATCGTCTTGACCAAACTTCAAGCTAAACGAGGATTAAGCCCAATGAGGCTTCTCAATATTTTGTCTAAGAGCAGAGGCCTCTTCCCAGCATATATAAAGGTTATCCTTTTAAGCACTTGTTCATACATTAAATATGATTTTAAATATATTATTTGTGGGTTGGAGAGAAAAAGAGAGCACAAAATAATTATTATTACACTATTAAACAAGAATCAGACACCTTGAGCCGTAGCCAAATAATTATCTAGTGGCGGTTTCTTTCTTTTTTTAAATTTATTATTATTATTATTATTTCGCAATGAACAAGACTTTAAGCCACTTTCCCCCACCCCATAAAACCGTTTTTTTCTGCGACGGCACGCCTGTCTGCATTTTTGTTGTCAAATACATTTAATTGCACTTGCCTTGAGAGGGCCAGACCACTTGATTTTGCGCGCAAACCATCACCCCTGTCCTAACACACCTCATCTATAAGGCAGTAACGGCTGCCCTTACCTTTCGTGTGTCCACAATCACTGAGTGAGTGTGTGTGTTGGGGGGGGGGGGGAGACAGAATGAATGAGCAAACGTATCTTAAAAGGGTTCTGAGAAAGAGTAGGGAGAATGAGTGGGAGGGAAAAAAAGGGAGGAGAGTAAGTGAGAGAGAGAGAGAGAGAGAGAGAGAGAGAGAGAGAGAGAGAGAGAGAGAGAGAGAGAGAGAAAGAGAACATACGTCAGTACTTTTAATTTAGACAACCCCATTTCTTTGGCTCTGAAATTTCGTTCTAGAACGGAGCACTTATGGGATAAACCTTTTGTCTTGTTGATCTGTTGCATATCAAGTTAGTTGTGTGTCCTTTACAGGACGTTGAAGAATCAACCCCAGCATTTATTGGCTCTTTTCTAGGCAAATTCAAAAAAAAAAAAAAACTTTCTAGACAAGCGATTCTCAACCTGCGACCCCACGGGGGGTTGGGGAAAAAGGGGGGGGGGGGCATTTAATACCATCGAAAAACCCATATTCACTGAAGTTATGAAGAAGCAACGAAAATAATTTTATGGTTGGGGTCATCACAACACGAGGAACTGTATTAAAGGGTCGCTGCATTAGGAAGGTTGAGAACCACTGTTCTAGACTAAGATTACTGTGTGAACCAATCTGTTCCATAAACAGCCTCTCTGCTAATCTACGGCCTGTCGATGGCAGGCGATTGTGGCTTCATCTTGCACAGATCGAACGTCTGCCAATTCCATTACACTCCATGGCCGAGGCATCTGTTGTGTGTGTTCTTTCATTTTCAGC